TGTGTGTGTGCGTGTGTGCGTGCGTGTGTGCGTGTGCATGTATGTGTGTGTGTGTGTGTGTGTGTGTGTGTGTGTGAACGTGTGTGTGTGTGTCTTCATCTCGGGCTGTTTTTATAGGCCATGTCTCAGAGGAGGGCAGCTGCTGGGTGATGATTGGCACCCTGTTCCCGATCTCCTTCCCTTACACTTCCTGTCTTCCTGTGGCTGAACCAATAGCGCTGCTGAGTGACTGCAAATCCAATCAGGATTTCAGGGGGTCTAAACAACCTCTTTTCATGTAAATGTCTAATGGCCCCTTTGTGTCAAGCACGGCTCACGCTGCGCCCTCAGAGAGAGCGTGGTGAGAAAGCTGCACGCACCTTTTTAAAAGAATAATCCGAGGACTGATTGGGCCTTTATGGCAACGAGATTCCTTTCTTTCCTGCTTCTCTGAAAATGAAGACAAGATTGCTGCACCTTCACATCCAGGCAACATAAACAGATCAATTAAGGCACACATGCACACTCCCCACACCGCAGCCTCTGAAGGTCAGAGCTGGGGCTGCTGCATGCTCCTTTCATCTGCTTTCATTTATTTAATGCAGACTATGTGTAATTTATTATATTTGATATTCCATTAATCCCAAACCAACAGCGACATGCTAGAAACAAACGTAAACACTTGTCATTAAATTAGCTGCTCTCACAGTTGCTGCAGGAAAGACAAACTGCAGCGTTGAGCTGCTGGATGTCAGCTCGGTGCCAACAGCTTGTTTCCCTTAATGCTGCAGCCTGGGCACAAGTCTGCAGCATCACAACAAGCACATCTGGATACTTTTTTTCTATCCTAAAAAATTTCAAGAAGCACCTTCCTGTATTCTCACCATATGTGTTTGCTTCTGATATACACAGTAATGTGTAAAAGATGATGTTCCACTGCACTCGGGCCAGCCAGCCGGGTCGGTATTTGCAGCTGTGTGATTCCTACCAGCTGCAGCTCGCACACTGAGCAGGTAGAAGAAAGACTTGATGCAGCAGCAGTGAAAACCT